GATCCTCTGATTGAAAGTCAGCTACCTAAGCTACGGCTCCAATGAAGTATGATTAACTGAAATAACCTATTGGGCAGCTAAACGAACACAAAACTAATTCAGGAAGTTACTGCCTGTTTACCTGAACTAAGCTTTCCTGTTTGAGTTCACGAAATGACTAAAGACGACGGTTACAAACTCTTGGTGACATGATTGGCAATTAAGTACGCTAGAGCAAATGTATCTAGATTGTACACTTTAAAAAAGTGCAATATGTATTTATTTCCCTGAATCTTTCATTTGTTTCACATTTATTACAATAGTAATTATTATTGCCATTTCACTGCTTTTTCTTTTGCTGACTCCTTCCTTATTTGCTTATATAAAGCATGATAGTTTCGACTGGTACTCAGATATGCCCGATCTTGTGTTCCGCATGTCTCCCTTACTGTCAATCTATGGATATATTCCCATATGTGGTAACAAACATGGTATATATCAACAGTCAACAAGACCTCAACATGTTTCCAACGTGAAGGATAGCAGTTGAAGATAAATGGTGGGGGTGAACGGTAATACGAATGAATAAACTCTTTTTATTGTAGTCTGTTTGGTGACTAGTGGTGGAATCAAGAGCCAGTGTCTCGTCCAATTTGAGACTCGTCACCTGGATACACCTACACTACAGTGAGTTGTTCCCACCGAGACATGAACCCAGTACCCACTGCTTCAAATACCAAAGAGTAATCCACTAGGTCACTGGGGCCCGAAGACACAGGTCGGGCAGTTTCACCTATCATAACAACAGGGAATCCCAAGCACCAACAAAAAAATCGATACTTGTTGGACATGTGGTGGCTGTTGGGCCCCAGTGGCCTAGTGGATAACACTTTGACGTTTGAAGCAATGGCTCTACTGGGTTCGAGTCTCAGTGGGAACAACTCACTGGGATGCAGGTATACCCAGCTGACGTGCCTCAAGTGGGACGAAATGCGCCTCCTGGGTTCTAATGCTAGCCATTATATGGGCTACAATATAATGAATATCCAGGCAGGATCGATGTCTCCACACAATAGCCCATCTACTAACAGAGATCGAGGAATTTGATCCAGTAGAGCGACATGAAATCGTAAGTACCAATCAATAATAAGATCTTTACAGTTTCCACATGCAAACCGCAAGTTTAAAACTATCTGAAGACTTTTCCCGGCCAATCGATGAGTTCTCAATCTAATTAGAATAAGAAATCCTTTCCTCACTCGAAATTATCTTCCCCACCTAATCGAACCAACAAAAGGGTAAAGAATTTGCAACTGAGATTTCTATTTTCCCGCAAACTGATGTATCAAAATTGACTGGCAATAACAGATGAATAGGCAGCGCCAAGTGAGACATTAAAACTAACAAAGGTTCTCCCTGAGAAGGCTTTGGAAAAGATTACAGAAAATAATGCATGAGTATGACGATGTCACTGTTTCTTTACTAGCTAATAACAGTATTATGACGCTGTACAGGAGTTCATATCTTCTGAATGCAGCAGACAATAATAATCAACAGCAATTAACTAGAAATTATACGTACTTTAAAATATTGTTTGCAAAATAGCTGGTGTGACTAAAAACAAATCTTTCATTAGTATATACACTTATATCCTTTTGATGAAGCAAATGTTTGTTACCCTCTGTAAACTCATCCTAGATTTTTTTGCCAGCCGTCCTTTATTCGTCTTTATGTAAAATGGTATTTGAATATATAAATTTATTCTTTCAGCTACTACACCATGCCATTTAGTCAATCATAGGCATTTCACTATTTCCATACTTCACAACAATATACGAACCTAAAATAATCCTAGTTACAGAAGTGTTTACTTTTCACTACATATTTGTATGAAGAACTTTATTGAGTGGGCTTTTCGGTGAACAAGAATGGTGTATCTTTTATAGTCACAAATCAAATAGAACCCCGAAAGTGAAACCAATCAAACAAACGCCTCCAGGTTTTAAATTTGGAACGTGTCTGCAGTTGCAGGATACCAGTTTATTTCTTAAGTTTAGCTTACACGCCTTGACTAGTGTACAGGCCACATTCATCAATTTTACTGGAACCGTTACTACCCTTTTTCCGAAAAAATTTATTTGACTAGAAATACCTCAAATACCTTCATGATACCACAGTAAGTAGAAGAATACAAAACTGTAAAAAGCACTCGAAAAAAGCACCGTTTCAAGTTGCCAAACTTCAAAGCATATATTTTGGAAATATTAATATGAATACGAGGAATATCGTGCGAGGGTAAAACCCAATGAAAACTAACAAAAGGTTTGATGAATTTAAAAATAATAAAACAATAAATGTAATGCCTATCTAACAGATTTGCAGATGCCCCTTAAAATCTTCAACTAGCAGTACTGCATATCGTTATTGTTTCAGTCAGCAATAATATTGTTTAAGGTGCTCAGAATCAGAACCTTCAGTAAGAAATCATAGGAGCTAAGAATTCATATATGTACTGTAAAATTCATTTAAGAAAACACAAAAATTATATCCTTTACGCCATAGTAAGTCTTTATCGTGTAATTACTAGAAATAAGGGGTCTAACACTGATCACTGAGGCAAACGTGATGAGAAAGTAGTCATCATAAAGCGCATAGGCTTTACAACAGCAAGGTCTGTAAAACGTCGAGTGGAAATGCACTCATTAACCATTTATGCATTTGTGCAGTAGGCAGCCAGTCACACCTGCTATGTTATGGCCAACGATACTACCTGGCTCCCCAAACCCCGGTAGGTGGAGCCTTGTTTGAACTTGTTACGTACTGGAGATAAACGCTGTATTTGTGTATCACACAACGTGATATAGGCTTTCTAACCATCTTTTCGACAGGTTTACAACGTTGTACACACAGAACAACGCTTAAGAGTCTTTCCACAGGTGTAAAATATGTTAAAGTTCTCAACAAACGATCCTGAGATCTTTTACAAATATGTGTGCGTGTTACTAAAATCAGATTTCCGTACTACTACAAAAATGGCAATTGAGGTTAGGTTTGAATACTTTCACCTGAAAATTTCCAATGGTACACGTCTTAGCACAATTTTTCCCGAAATACATCAGAATTTCATAGGCATCTTTCACTACGTAACTAGCTCCTTATTGTCAGTGAGCATAAACTGTTTTCCTTACAAACCTTTCTCATGCAGATACCTATATGGCTGATAACAACATATGTGGGAATAGACTACGGGTGTTGTTGTGTGCACGATGACTGGTAAGTCTATTGTATCATAAGATGGTTTTCAGAAGCATTTAATGAAGATTCACAGAAACATAAAGGCAAACTCAACAGCTTTCCTGCATCTTAGTTTGTTGGCCAGATATACCACACAGTAAAGGAGTTATATTTATTGGATTTTGTCTTGGGTACAGTTTGTTGCCCATAGTTACACCAAGGTTATTCCACAATATTTAGGTATGGTTTAGGTAGTTCTAATTCTCTCTTCTCTATGATAAGGATAATAGAATTTTACATATATCTGGAACATGTGTTGAATTATTTCCGTTGCATATATTTCGTGTTGATGAAATTAAATGCTCACATTACAAAGTTAGAGAATTAAAAGTGAGTCTAAATGTTGTAGAGTTACCTCGATATGAACATAGATAGTAACTTGCATTTGAAGCGTAACACAGTAAATAATACAGTTTCGCCGTTTGATACGTCCAATCCACAAACTGAAACTTGATTACAATTTAACAGCATGCCTGCGTCTTACCGCAATCCTAATTAACTGGTTCCTGATTTTTTTTGAATAGTAATGTTACGCAGAGGTAAAATATTTGAGTGCCATAAAGTATGGAAAATTTGAGTGATTTATATGAAATGGTAATAACCAATATAAATTATTTTTCAAGAAAGAAGAAACGGAATACGTTGACCAGTTTTGAAGCAATGATAGTGGTTATCCATATGTTACAGAACTGAAATAAAAGTGTTGGCTCAAATTTTAACTTGTTTTATGGCTTACACTTGCAGTTTTTACGTATGGCTGAAGAACAAACAAACGTAACTCTCATCGAAGTATTTTATCAATCCACTGTATGTGACTCCTTTTTGTGACTCATGTGTCAAAGGAACCACCATACAGAATAGGGGAAATTCCATGAGATTTTGATGGGACTGTATATGAAGCTAGCATATTAGATCGGGTCTAGGAGGGAAGAGCGAAGATGGTCAAAGGGATCTCCAGCCTCCCTAACAGAAAAATATTGGGTCGACCAGGTCGTTTTCTACTCCTACCATATGGTGATGTATTGTCTCGTTTGAACTTATCGCGTCCTGAGTAATGATTTAAATTCACACTTATTTTATTTATTCCGCCCCATAAAACAATTCTTCTCTCGGGAAATCAAAAAATAATAAAACTCAGTCGAATCATCTACGTCTGGAAATATGTTTCTCACACAGAGTTATGAACTACTCGACCGCTCTGCAAGCGTGAATATTGTCAGGAGATTGTGTCAATACTTTAAAAACGAAATTGTAACTTCACAGTAAATATCAATAGCACGGGTTAATATACTCCAGAGTCCAACTATCCTTACTGGTGAATCTTGGTGTAAATTGTTCACGTGAACTAGTTAACAGAGTGTGCGGCTGGACAAAAATTGCTAAAAGTAAAGGCTGCCAGTTTTGAGCATCAAGTATACAAGTAAATTCAAGATTTTATCTTAAAGCATCTACTATTTTCTGCGGTACTCAGGTTTCGTTCATAGTACGATTTTACTGAAACACTTCGTCTAATAAAACTATTGTACTGATTAAACTTGCAGAGAAACAAGATGTATAGTAATGAGTGTCTTTTGCTACAAAAGTTGCAACCACTGCTAAACAAAAAAGTGAAATGATAATATTCTCATGTCATTTTTATATTATATAATATAAGACACTGTTTGGCATCTTCACAACTGTCTAAATGTGTTAATTCTTTATGAAAAACCCAAAATCTATAAACTAACCACAAGTGTCATTGGTCCGGTGAATTTGTATATTGCATTTGTAAGGTGAATAATGTAGAAGAACATGGAAATGAGTGCTGTTATGATTGGCACGAACAACAACCATCCTCCAGGTCCAGGAACAATGTAATTAGGAGATAAAGCAACCAAAATAATAAGCAAAATATCAATAATTATCTCCACAATCTTGAAAACTGCAGGAATTGTACTTGCATACGCAGTGTTAAGCGACATCCTAAGTGGTATTTTGAAGTTGTGTCGAATATTTAACAAGCCTGGTGAAAACTACGAATTATAACAAATTATACATCCACTTCCAACATTCAACAATGATAGTGGGAGAGCAGGAAACTAAAAGTTTTGATACCTCACATCTTCTTAGGGCTTGGCTCAAGTTGTTTAGCTTACTTCTGGAGTGGACAAATAAAGCCTCTTCTGCTTTTGGCTTTTGGCTTCGGTGAGGTGGATGGTTTTCGGCTTAGTAAATTGCGATTTGTAGGGTGATTTGAGGGCTACGGGTTATTTGAAAGGTAAGGAGCCTACTGTGACTCCTGTCTGCGTAGGTATCTGAGTAGGAAAAGCAAGATAGTGAGGAAAGTTATGTGGGAATTACCCTAAAGATAAAAGTGGATAGCACGCGTCTAGTTGGTAGAGGAAAGTTATTAGGTAATATAGGTGCATTGGTGAGTGGCTGGTAGGTAGAAAGGGAGTGATGGTCAGATAGTGAAGTTATTAACTCCTTGAGTACGTCCGTGGTTAACCATGAGGAGTGACGTAACTGTCCAACCATCTTTTGAATGACTTTGCCGTGGGAGGCCATGAAAATATCCCGTGATAGGTCATTTCATAAAAGACATACTGTCAGAGATAAGAAGCTGGTGTTGTCTCCCTGGTGCGCCGTATCAATAGGGTCTCCTTATTACAGCCGTTGTGTTGCAGGCAGGGCTAGTTAACTTATGTGATTCATCTGATGGATGATCTTGTAGGCCGTAATAATGTCACCACTCTTCCTGCGGTTACCCAAGATGAATAGGTTTAGGTATTTTAGTCGTTCAGGATATGTATTCTCCCCACAACTGATTTTGTTGCAGGTCATTGCATTTTTCCAAGAAGGTCAGAGTCCCTCTTGAGTGTTGTTCGGACCACCACATTGAAGACTTCCAGGTGCAGCCGTATGCAGGATTTGAAAACCATGAGGAAGAGTTCGAGGGTAGGGATCCAAGTTGTCTACACTGAACGTACAAAGTGGCATTCGCTCTGACTGCAATGCCTTTGTAGTTAAATCTGGCATTGAAGGTGTCGAAAAAGTTAATCCCCAAATCTTTCTCCGTGAATGCTATGAGGGTAGCACGGTTGGTCAACACGTGCTGAAAGTCGGCCGTAACTGCTTCATGTTTACTGGTGTGCATTGCTTTTCAATTTTCCATGCTGAAGCTCAAGCCGTTTTCCGACGACCGGAGTTCAGGTTGCTGCAGGTCATTTTGTAGTGCTGTACATTTGGCCTCATCGTTTACCACCCTCCAAATTTTAGTGTCATCAGCAAAGAGGAGGATCGGTAAGGAGATTTTGTGTGGCAGGTCATCGAAAAATAGGAGAAACGGAGGTAGTCCTGGCACAGCTCCTTGGTATTCCGCTAACGCTGATGGTCCCCACTCTGACCCATTCTGTTTACCTTCCTCCAGAACTGCCTACCCCATAGGTACTCCTTGAACCAAGAAATTAGGGGTTTACTTTTACCGGCTGACATGATTTTTCAAGGCAGGGCTGTGGACCGAACACAGTCAACTGCTTTGGCTAGGTCGATAAAAACAGCATGTTGTCTCAGCCAAGTGTCCAGTCGTCCTAGACAGTCAGGGGTTGGTGATACATGGACCAATACTCCAAGAGCCGTGCTTGATAGTATGGATGGTGTTTTCACTGTTGGAGAACCCCCTGGTAGCGTTAGCTATCAGGATTTCTGGTGCTTTCGACGGTATTGAGAGTGGGGAAATCGGGCAGTAGCTGCTGCTGCTTTCTCGGCCACCTCCCTTCAAGATGGGTGACAAGACGGGCGCTTCCATTCTACTGGGAGTTTGCGTAATTTTAGGTACTTGAAATGGTTGCAGACTGGTTTTGCAGGCGCCCTAGCGCAGGCTTTTAGGATGACCGTTCTCAGGTTATCGCAGTTAGGAGACTTGCCTGGACACAGCTTAAATAGTTACTCTGACACTTTTATCAGAGATTGGGATGTGGCAGGGGGATTCCTTGTTTATGGTCTAGCCTACATCGTATCGAATCGGCATAGGTTCGGCGCCAGCACTATACTGAGCCTATAAGCGTGAGCCCTGAAGTTCGGTTACCTCTAGACTACTAAGTGCACTCCCATCAGGACTGGTGATAACATTCGTTCCCTTGCTGGTCACCTTCCTTTTCGACATGGAGCGGCACATGTTTTTGGGGTAACTCTGCAACCTCCACGATGCGTTTGTTTGACAGTTAAACCTGTCGTCACGCACTCTTAGGTTGCCCCGGTTGCAATTTCTTCTGTGGTTCAAGGAGTCAGACTCCCTTCGCGATGAACGTCAATCGAATCAAGCCTCATTCTTGGTCTGACGTAGCATCTGTGTACCACGCCTTATCCGTGCTGTTCTCACTGAAGGCCTGTGTATTACATCTGGCACACTGACTGATGGCTCCAACCATTATTTCCTCCACTTGTATCCGGTGTTCATCCGTCGCGAGACTAGTCCAGTCTACGGACCACGATGCAATAATGAGGTAATCTGTCGTAGTTACCTAGTTATCCTTGATGTAGCAAGGAAACGTGCTGGGCATCTCCCGTTGTCAGACCCGCCTCAGTAGTCACCGAGAGAGTTATTACTGCCTCCGGCTGAAGGATCCGATGTGCCTCCCCTACATTTCTAAGAAGATGGACAGTGCTGAAGTCACAAGGAGTTACTACGGAGCGGTAATCTGTAGAAGTTGCCAAGATTTCCTTGATAACCATTCCTTCATGTGTAGCAGAGCTAGTGAGGGCCCGACACGTGACTTCAAGCAGGTATTTTAATACGATGGGGGGTGAAGTAGCACCTTTAAAACTCCGAGAGCTGAATTAGATTCGTGTCGCTGACCACCTTTATCTTTGAAGGAGAGTTTATGTACACAGCCACTCACACCCGCTCTGAGCTGTCTGTCCCTGCAAAAGAGTCTCATGCCAGCGACATGAATCGCTGTCCAAGGTATCGGTGAAAGCTAGGATTCCATGTCTAACAGGACGCAGACTCCGGGCTTTTGCATAGCGTCCTTGTCACTGCTACTTCCCCTCTCAGCCCCCTGACGTTGGTGCACACATAAGTTGGGGTGTACTTGATGAGAGGAAAGGGGTGGTTGTGAACGGGGCACTTAGGTGGCTAGGTGTGGGATCCCCCGGTCTTCACAGGACTGGCAACACTCTGTTTTCCAAGCTCTGTGCCTTTATATTGCGCGGAGACTGTGTCAGTAGGAGCTTTGTTGCCCGACGTACCTGGCCCACTAACCAGTGTCTGTGTGACAACCACTGACTCCAGAGATCTTGGCACTCGCCACCTCTCCTCTGGTCTGATGGGTTTTGGCTCACTCTCTCGGGTGCGTATCGGGTCATCCCTACGGCCTTTCATTTATTATTACACATGTGGAACGTCCGTGTGGGAGAAATGTTAGTCAAATCTGACAGCGAGTAGTCTAGACATAGGGATAAGCTTCAGATGAGTTGCTCTTGACAGTCCAATGACTCCGTTAGCCGGCATATAATCGGGGCCGACTTTGTTTGAAAACCATCGCCGTTGTTGAATGTCGGGAGGTACCGAGCTTTAGTGGACCTGCCACCTGGCCATTCTGGGGTCCTCTGTACAACCACGGTTTTGTTTCCATTTGGATTCTCAACCACTGGTTACCCTCCTCCCCTCTCAACGATCATGGCCTGTCAGGCCTGGTGCGAATTTCCCAGGTATTGACAATTTCCAGTTAGCGTGAGAGAGGAAGGATGTCTTCAGCTCCCTCGGCGGTTCTCAAGGAAATACGTCGGGGGGATGGCATGTCTCGAGGTGCCCTGCCTTCCTTGTGAAGGCATCAAGGTGTCTTAGGGAGAGTAAAGAGTCAGGGTAACTGGCAAAGGCTGACCCAGATTCGGCCATCAAACTGTTTTCTTTCGATCAACAGTGACCTCGTCGATGCATAGATCTTGAATAAGATAGCTGAGATGGCTATCCTGTAGCCCGTGTTCGTCACGGATGACACGCCCGACTTGGTTTGTTGCGTATTTCTCCTGGTTGTTTCCGGACCACACTATCTGGGATATTCGGGCTGGGTTTGGTCGGGAGTCTTGTAGACTGAACCTTTTCCGTGCACTTGATTTTCTCTGCAACCAGGTAGGGGATGTGCAAGTCCCACTTTGCGCAGTCTCCTTGTGTAGTGGTGCGTACACACCTAAAGGCCTAGCTTTAATCCGGGTTCCGTAATGTCATCCACTGGTACTACCTCCACCTTGTTTGGGTATGTTGATGGCTCTTGTTTGGTGAAGAGTACTTCTTTTAGGCCCTCGGTACGGAGTGCGGAGGGCTTCCTACATTCTGAACCAATGTAGCAGAACCAATTGCGTGGTTGCTGCTTCATCAGCTTGTAGCGCTGTCATGGTTTGTTGCTGTCACAGTGGAAATGTGCCCATTGGTGGCATAAGTTGCTTGCCTCATAGACTAATGGTATGACGACAGTGCAGAAACCGTAGCCATCGAATATCATGGTGCAATCTTCCCCTGGGGATAGCAGTGTTTAGTGGCGAACTACTTGTGGCTGTCATACTGCTGCGTCTGCCGTGCCATTTTCTACTTATAGGCACAGGCTGATCCTAGCCAACAGTGGGAACAGTTTGCGATATGTTAGGGCCACTTTCGGCCACTAGCTTGATGGCAACTAGCATTCTAGAAACAAGGGTCGGCCACTTCCTTAGGAGTCCGGTATTCTGCCCTGCCTCTATTTGCCTCTGGATACAGACTATATTGTTTCCTCACACGTTATTGTTCCTCCTATTGCACGATCGCGCTGTCCACATCGATGCTTCATATCTATCTTTTTCGACGGACGTGACACCATTATATAAGCCTCTTTAGAAAGTGAGTATTTGATAGTGGTAGAGAGATCGATGACTGGAAGCAGCAAGAGGAGGGTGTGCGTAAAAGAAAACGGTACGTTTTGTTTACCTTCAGGCGATTGCTACTCTTTTATCTGCACTTGGCCAACTAGTTTAACCGTGAGCCTCAGATGCTTATGTGAA